TTTTTTTTTTTTTTTGGAGACAATCTCACTATTGGCCTGGATTGAGTACCCTGGTGGCATAGCTCACTGCAACCTCAAATTCTTGGACTCAATCCTCTTGCCTCAGCCTCCAGATGAGCTGGGACTACAGGTGCCCACCACAAGGCCCAGCTAATTTTTCTATTTTTACTAGAGACAGGGTCTTGCTCTTGTTCAGGATGGTTTTGAATGCTTGACCTCAGGTGATCCACCAGCCTTGACCTCTGGGAGTGCTAGGATTACAGGCATGAGCCACTATGTCTGGCCAGTTAAAAACAAATTTAAATCATGATTCATTAAACACTGTACATAAAACAAGTTTCATAAAACAACATATGCAGCTGGGTGTGGTGGCTCATGCGTATAATCTCAGCATTTGGCAGGCCAAGGCAAGCACATTGCCTCAGCTTGCAGGTTTGAGACCAGCCTACGCAAGAGCGAGACCCCATCTCTAAAAATACCCTGGTATTGTGGCAGGTGCCTATAGTCCCAGCTACTTGGAGGGTGAGACAAGAGAATCGCTTGAACCCAAGAGTTTGAGGTTGCTATGGACTATGACACCACAGCACTCTATCAGGGGTGACAAAGTAAGACTGTCTCAAAAAAGAAAAAACAATATATGCAATGTACTAATATTTTCTTCAGTTTTGGCTAGCTTTTTTTAAATTCTGGTGACTTGCTAATTTAATTTCACTATCCACTAATGGGTTGGTGAAACATGGGTCTGGTGGATCTTTTTGAATGCCCAGTAGATCCCTAATAGATAGGATAGGTGAAGTCTCAGGTATGTAAAGAGCATTGAGGACTAGACAGCAGGTCTACCTAAAGGCATTCAAATGCTAATTTTTTTTAAAGACATAGTCTCACTGTGTCACCCCAGGTAGAGTGCCATAGTGTCATCATAACCCACAGAAACCTCAAACTTTGAACTTGACCAATCCTCTTGCTTTAGCCTCCCAAGTAACTGGGACTGTGGTTGCCCACCACAACGCCCAGCTAGTTTTTTCTATTTTTAGTAGAAATGGGGGTTTCATTCTTGCTCAGCTGGTCTTGAACTCCTGACCTCAAGCAATCCACTGGCCTCAGCCTCCCAGAGTGCTAGGATTATAGGCATGAATCACCATGCCTGGCCCCTCAAATGCTAATTTTTTTTTTTTTTTTTTTTTTTGAGACAGAGTTTCACTTATCAACCCTTGGTAGAATGCTATGAAGTCACAGCTCACAGCAACCTCCAACTCCTTGGGCTTTGGGCAATTCTCTTGCCTCAGCCTCCCGAGTAGCTGGGACTACAGGCACCCACCACAACATCTGGCTATTTTTTTGTTGCAGTTTGGCCGGGGCTGGGTTTGGACCTACCACCCTTGGTATATGGGGCTGGCGCCCTACTCCCCAAGCCAGAGGCGCCGCCCAAATGCTAATATTTTTAAAGCATGCCAACCTGTAGCAAACTATAGAAGGATTTTAAAAGAGTGCAATGATTAAATGTATTATTTAGAAACATTTACTGTAGTAAATGAGAAAAGTGTGGAAGGGACCAGTTTAGAAAATGATTAGTGTAGTAGGGTTCTAGTTAAAATACGTGTGGAATGGGTAAGGTTTTACAGACCAATGAAAGGAAGGGAGAGAAGGGAGTTTCTGTCTGTATAAGACACTGAGTACATGATGACACAAACAGAAAGAGTATCAGCTGTCTTTACAAACTTTATAATATCATCAAGAAAGGTCAGAAATTCTCATGTTTAAAGTTGATTGAAATGAAAAGATCATTTTTAAAAATTCCCTATGTCCAGTGGGGCACTGTTGTTCGTGCCTGTAATCCTAGCACTCTGTAGGCGAAGGCTGGTGGGTGGATGGCCTAAGCTCAAGAGTTCAAGACCAGCCTGAGTACCAGTGAGACCCCATCTCTACTAAAAATACAAAAACCAGCCAGGTTGTGGTGGGCACCCACAGTCCCAGCTACTTGGGAGGCTGAGGAAAGAGGATAGCTTGAGCCCAAGAGTCTAATGTTGCTATGAGCAATGATGACGCCATGGCACTCTATCCATTGTGACAGAGTGAGACACTGCCTCAAAAAAAAAAAAAAAAGAAAAATTCCCTATCTCAAATGTTGGAAATTCAAAATACAGTCTAGTTGTATACGGGGGCTAAAATATACAAATGACTGTTTTCATGCTCAATCCAGAAATAAATACAGGGTTAAGATTTCAATCCAGTTTGTCTCATCAATTTCATAATGATAATTAGGCATTGAAAAACAGAAAGAGTATTCATTAGTAGGATGATTCGGTAGAAAGTAAGTGGAATTGAGAAGCGTAAAAATGTATTACTCACTATCTAGTTCTTGCTCTAGAATGTCTCTTCCTGATTCCAGGATCTGCCACAGTTCAAGATATGCATATCCTACTTCTTCACATTCATTCTTTTCTTCATCCATAGGATCACTTACTACTGTAAACTTTAAACTAAAAAGAAAAGAAAACAAAAAAAAATTCCATTTAACTCAGCACTGCTAATACTCTTATGCTTTATTTATTTATTTATTTATTTTAATTGTTGGGGATTCACTGAGGATACAAAGAACCAGGTTACACTGATTGTATTTGTTAGGTAAAGTCCCTCTTATAACTACATCCTGCCTCCAAGAGGTGTGTCACACACGATGACCCCCTCACCCCTACTCTTATGCTTTAAAAATAAAATAAGCTTGCCTCCCGTAGCTCAGTGGGTACGATGCTGGGCACATACACTGAGGCTGGTGGGTTGGAGCCTGGCCCAGGCCTCTTAAGCAACAATGACAACGGTAACAACAACAAAAATAGCTGGGTGTTGTGGCGGGCGCCTGTAGTCCCAGCTACCTGGGAGGCTGGGGCAAGAGAATCACTTGAGCCCAAAAGTTTGAGGATGCTGTGATATCACGGCACTCTACCAAGGGTGATATAGTGAGACTCTGTCTCAAAAAAAAAAAAAAAAAAAGTTGGGTACCAAAGCCAGAGTAAAGGAAGCAGAGGAATACATCTTTGCAAAACAAGTATAAAAAGGGTATCCCTGGCTCGGCGCCTGTGGCTCAAGCGGCTAGGGCACCAGCCACATACACCTAAGGTGGTGGGTTCGAATCTAGCCTGGGCCCGCCAAACAACAACAATAATGGCTGCAACCAAAAAATAGCCGGGCGTTGTGGTGGGTGCCTGTGGTCCCAGCTACTTGAGAGGCTGAGACAGGAGACTCGCTTGAGCCCAGGAGTTGGAGGTTGCTGTGAGCTGTGAAGCCATAGCACTCTACCCAGGGGGACAGCTTGAGGCTCTGTCTCAAAAAAAAAAAAAAGGTATCCCTTAGACTTGTTAGTCAAAGACATCACTATAAAATGGGCAGCATACTGTCCCAAAAGCAGTGAGCAGTCTGTAACAGTATTAACTTGACTTATCTAGCAAATGATACTGAATTTCAGAAATTGGTACAATTTATAACAATTCTATTAAATTTTTTTAGATTAATGTAATACAAAATTAACCATTTTAACCATCATAAAGTGTACCATTCAGTGTTTTTTGGTATAATCACAATGTTGTGCAACCATCAACACTGTCAAATTAATTCTAGAACATAACACTCCAAAAAAGAAACCTTATTCGGATTAAGCAGTCATCCCCCATTCTCCTCTTCCCTAGCCCCCCGCAACTACTAATCTACTTTCTTTCTCTCTACATTTGCCTATTCTGGGTGCTTCTTATTTCAATAAAACTTTTTTTTTTTTGAGACAGAGTCTCATTATGTTGCCCTCAGTGGAGTGCCATAGCATCACAGCGCACAGCAACCTCAACTCTTGGGCTCAAGCAATCCCCTTGCCTCAGCCTCCCAAGTAGCTGGAACTATAGGAGCCCGCCACAATGCCTGGCTATTTTTAGAGACAAGTCTGGCTCTGGCTCAGACTGGTCTTGAACCTGTGAGTTCAGACAAGCCACCTGCCTCAGTCTCCCAGAGTGCTAGAATTACAGGCATGAGCCGCAGCGCCCATCTTCTATTAAGTTTTTAAAATTGAGTTCAGTGGAGCGGCGCCTGTGGCTCAGTGAGTAGGGTGCCGGCCCCATATACCAAGGGTAGTGGGTTCAAACCCAGCCCCAGCCAAACTGC